AAATGTTGAATTGAAGATTAATCCATACATGCATGTACATGTTCTAGTATTTTGAGGTTGTTTTCAAGGGGATTGTTACATGCATGTTCATATCTTGAGTATAGTTCATGAATTCATCATGTTCTTGAGGAAATTGACTCTTTTGAACAAGTATTTAAAGCTTTAAAGTTGTTTAAATTCATGCATGTTACATTTAAATTATGTTCTTGAAGTTTTCCTTGAAATTGTGTTTAATTGAACTACCTTTGGGTTTCGATTTTACAAATTGATCTTCAAAACATGTTATACTATGAGTTTACAAGAGTTTTCCAGAAAATTAGCCCAAGAGGATCGAATTTGGTACATTTAAAGTTGATTTTGAGCTTGAAGGTTCAATTTGGAATTTCCAAAATTTGGACTCACGCTCGAGCGGGGAACTTCACGCTCGAGCGTACAATCTGTGTTCATGCAGTCCGCTCGAGCGGGGAAAGTGACGCTCGAGCGGGACATGCATGTATCCAGTACTTTGCATGTGTTTGCAGTCCGCTCGAGCGGGGTAATGCACGCTCTAGCGAGGACTTGTGTCTCCCGCTTGAGCGGGTATCTAGCGCCCATCGAGCGTGAATTTCGTGCATCTAGTACTTTTACTGTAGTTTACAGTCCGCTTGAGCGGAGTAATCCACGCTCGAGCGGAGCCTTTTTGTCTGCATGACCGCTCGAGCGGAGAAATCCACGATCGAGCGGGACCCTTGTTTCAGCAAAATTTTGAAAAGTGTTTCTAAGTGCATCTTTGCATCCTCACTCCATCCTAGGCATTCCTAAGGCATGTTTAAGGCATCTTGATGAGGATACTGATATAGAACCACACTGAGTCAAGTTAGGGACTAAGTCATTGTTTTCCCAACTATGTAGCTTAGTGTGTGTTCGTTCTGTAACTGTGTAGGGTTGGCATCCGAGGACGCTCACTAGCCTATCTATAGCCCAGAACTCTGTGAGTAACAATGTTGTAAAGATATGTTCAATTGAGATTATTTTCTGAACAAATGACTGTACTGCTTAATGAAATGACACTATTTACTGAATGAATGTTTATCCTATTTGCGAACTGTATTCGTGGCATCCATAGCGATTTACTGTTACTGAACTGTTACTGCTACTGTCACAGAGATCTCTGTCGGTTCCCATATTGGAACCACTACTGTTTACTGATATGATGGCCATCAATTGACTGTTCGGTCTGTTAAGACCTACTGTACTGTTTGCTATTGGATGTATCACATATGACTATTATGGTTTATAAATGACTGTTATGGCATGAAATATGAGCCACAGACTGAATGACTAATATACTGTTGTAAATGACTATTTTAAATACTGAAAGGACATTCATTCTTAACCTCTTTACGCATATGTTATTCACTGGGCTTTAGCTCACTGTTTATATTTATATGTAGGTGTTCAGGCACCAGAGAGGAGTTAGGGGCGTCGGGTTAACTCCATTTTTGTCAAGCCAACCACTGTGCCTCACAGAGAGGTTCCAAGCGTGACCGAGCCAAGGCTGTTTGAGGTGTTTTAGATTTCTTCCTTTTTGTCTCTATTTAGTATATACTGTATAGACTTGTACTGTACTGTACTAATAGGGGTTAAGTTCCTGTCCTGGATGATTGTATATGTATGTACATACTGTTTTGTTTCGAATGTGAATGTTATGAAAAATCTTTTTGCATACAGACTGTCACAGCTCATTGGACATCTATTATCACTGTTTTGGCTTCCGCTAGCCCCTGTACTCTATATTACTGTTATTATTGTTAAGCAGGCCTTCAGTAATCATGGATTACTGGCCGGTTACGGTGCTAAACCCATAGGGGCGGGTTTGGGTCGTGACAATAAGTCGTCTCATTGGTTCTCACAAGTGGATCTGGTGAAAGATTGCCAAAGATAGAGATATAAAGAGGAGAACTGTTTGTATGCGAAGAGTGTGTGTGTTTGTGTGTGTGTGAGAGAGAGAGAGAGAGATGTAAAGATCTAAAAATGACATAGAGAACAGTGATGGTGACAGCAGCGATGATGGTAGAGAGAGAATCTAAAAGAAAGCGACTGATAGACAATGGCACAAAGAGACGATAAAAAGAGTTCTTGAGTCTTGTTTTTCCTTTTTTTTCTCTTTTTAATGTTCGTAAAGATAGTTTGATCCATTTATGTCAAATTTTTTCTTTATTCTTCTATAATTTAAAATTGGGTTAATTGGAGATAAATTAAATCGAAAGAGGTTACAAGGCATTATGTCCAAGAGATATTTCTTGTTGATGAGAGGTTCACGCTTTGTGAAAAAGTTTAGTGAGAAGTGCTAGAGAACATTTTGTTTCCAATTTACCTCTTTGACCCTTTTTTTTTATCCATTTGACTTTATGTTAGATGTTCAAATTTATATCTCTTGGTTTAAATTTTTTGGTCTATCTGTTCAAATTTATATCTATTTGTTCAAAAATTTTAACTATCTGTTTAATTTTCCTCCTATCTGTTCATTTCCCTCCCTAAATTTTACCTATCTGTTTAATTTTTTTCATAAATTCTATCTATCTATTCAATTTTATATGTTAGCAATTCTATCTGTCTAATTTGTTTTTTATTTTTTTATCTATTGAAATATCAAGCCAAACAAAATCCTATCCGTTCAATCTATCTGTTCAGATACCTCTCCCCTCACTCACTCATCTGTTCAAAAACATCATCAAGAACAAATCCTATCCTATCTGTTCATCAACAACAACATCACCAAATTCTATATATTCATCATCAACAACAACAACAACAACAACAAAATTAAACCGTAACAAAATCTTTGTAAAAAAAAAAAAAAAAAAAAAAGAAACAGCACATAATATTTTATCTGTTCAATTTTTGAACTTATCTGTTTAACAACAACAACAAATCACAGATCAAAAACCTGAACATAGTAAATCTGGTTATCTGAGACTCAAATCTCAGATTTCTTATTTTCTTACGTTTTTCCCGACAACCAAACGTTACATAACTATTTATTCAATAACTAGTTTCAATTTAACAACACCACCATCATCATATATCAAAAGTTTCAAGAGAACATTTGTGTTCTTACGTATGAACGTCTGTGTATACCTAGAATCGTTAGTGTTTTATTTAGAACATTTAATAAAATCTAGAATATTTAGAATCGTTAGGGTTGAGTATAAAAATCTAGAATATTTCTAAAAAAATTCTAGTTATTTAAAAAAAAATAAAAATAAATCTAGAATCCTTCGTTCATTCATAAAACAAATATTCAAGATTTTTAAAATATTTTAAATATTTTCAAATATCCCCAAAAAAAAAAAATCTCTGTTGATCTGAGATCTCTCACCGATCGTCACCGAAACCGAATCCGAATCCGAATCCGCAGGGAAGAAACGATTAGAAAAAGAGAAGATCGGTGACAGAAAAAAGAAAAATCTACAGCTCAGATCGGTGACAGAAAAAGAGAAGATCTGTAGGTCTACGACCTTCCAGATCTCGATCGTCGGCCCCAGAAACAACGTTGTGGAGCGGTGGCGTGAGGCGTGCTCGGATCTACAGCTCCGGCGATGGCATGCTCAGATCTATAGCTCGGCGACTAAGACAGAGAGAGAGTGGGGGTTTGAAGATCTACCGCGTCTGAGGAGGCGGCACAAGGTTGAAGGCGACTCCGAGAGAGAGCGAGAGAGAGAGAGAGAGAGGGGGGTCTGGTTTGAATAGAGAGACAGAGACCATGGAGAGAGAGGGTAGGGTCTATTCGACAATCGTATGCGAGTGATAGGTCTGTTTGAAAATATATAACCTACGAGTAATTTGGTCATTTTAAAAGAAGAAAAATGTTTGGAAGTATTAGAAATGAAATACTAAAATGAGCATTAATGATGTGATAGTGAGTTTCATTCATTTTTTATGTCTTGTTTTTTTTCTTTTTTCTTTTTCTTTTTTACCATTCTTAATGCATTAGTGCTATTAATAATGTATTTTTTAATGATCTAAATCATTGTTGTTAAAAGAATTTATCCTTATGACAAATTGTTTGACAGCTTCGACCTGCGAGAAAACAAATTTCAAAATTAAATTTAGCGTCGAGCGCCTTTAAAAATTTTAGGAACTTTTAACTAAACAAATAAATTATTGTTGTTCTTAAATTCTTAAATAAATTTAAGTAAATTATAAATATATTTTTTGAGATTTAATTGAAATACAAATCGCACTTATAATTTTAAAAATTACATTTTACTTCCTGAGATTTCTAATTTAATAACAAATCGTCTCTTTTATTAATAAATTATCAACTCAATTAACAGTTTTTAAGAATATTAGAAATATATTTCAATTAATAATTTAGGTAATTTTATTATTGTACAAGAAAGTAATTATCAATTTTATTTTTTTACTTAATTCTGTTTAATAAAAAAATACTAATAAAGAGATATTTGTAATTTTCTAAACCACATAAGACAATCTGTACTTTAAGTAAATCTTAGGGAATGTATTTATAATTTACCTAATAAGTTTATAAAGGGATTGTCTTTCTAATTTTTTCTACAATAATATTATATTTTCATAATTTATCATTTCTAAATCACTAGTTATACCTCATATAATGAAATATATAACAAATTTAAATTTGAGTTATACCTCATATAATGAAATATATAACAAATTTAAATTTGAAATTTATCAAATACATTATTAAAAATAATTTTTAAAAATAATAAATTAAATGTGTCAAATATTTTTCTTCGCTAATTATGAAAAGAAAAAAAAAAAAAAAAAAAAAAAAAAAAAAAAAAGGGGGGGGTTTTTTTAAAACGTGAAAAGCGAGGCCGAATCTGTAATAGTAATATGCACTGACAGTTCTCCGTGCGGGGCAGAGTGACACCCGACCCACGGACACCCAACTGATGCAATTCTTCCATTCAAACGTTGTTGTCACTGTTAGTGGACTTCCACATGTTATATGTCCTCCACTCCACAAAAATACATAAATAGAAAAACACAGAGCAGATAAGGGAAGTAAAAAAGATCACGTTTTAATTTTTAAATCATATTTTTTTCTAACCAGTTTTACTTTTCCGAACAGAGACAGATCACAAACAAAATCACATCACGCAACAAAGACACTATTATCCATTTATTGACAGCCAAACCCAAATACATTATCTTTTTCTAAAATCTCTCAAAACCAACAAAGCTAAAGAATCAGAAGAAGCTCCATTATCAATTCATTCACTGTTCTTGATCTGGAAAGGATTTTGTTTGATTGATTGATCGGAGACGATGCCGCAGCAATTACAGGAGAGAATCAGAGCTTTCTTCAACAACAGATGGCTTGTGTTTGTGGCTTCAATGTGGGTTCAGTCTTGTGCTGGAATTGGGTACTTGTTTGGGAGTATATCGCCTGTGATAAAGAGCACTATGGGTTACAATCAGAGACAAGTTGCCATTTTGGGTGTGGCTAAAGATTTGGGGGACAGTATTGGCTTCATTGCTGGTACTCTGATCGAGGTTTTGCCCGTTTGGGCTGTTTTTTCCATTGGTGTTGTTCAGAATTTTGTTGGGTATGGTCTTGTTTGGCTCATTGTCACTCACAGATTGCCTACTTTGCCTTTGTGGGTGGTCAGTTCTCTCTCTCTCTCTCTCTCTGTCGGCAGATAAATACAAATGGTGATTGTGGCATAGATGCTTGAGATTATTTATTTATTTATTTATTTATTTTGACTTTTAGTTGGGTTCTGTTCCTTATGCCCTTCTATTTGCTTGAACTTTCAATTGTTGTTGATGAAATGCAAATTAACTTGATGACTGACTACAAATGTGAACTTGGGTCCCTTTTCTTTCAATTTTCTTTGGCATTTTGGGATTCATTTGCTGGTAATGTGTTCGGGTTGTTGCGATTTTGATGAATTAGATGCATGAAAGGAAATTATGATGCATACTTAGATTGGGGATTTTTAGTTTCAAGTTGGGTATTTTGGTTTGGTGACATGATTTCTGATTTGAGAACTGAATTTGAGAAACAAACAAGTTAAAAAAATGACAGGATTAGGATTAGATTTTTGCAACCATAGTTAGTCTCTTGATACAGTTTACACTGATAGACCCATAGCTTCTGATCGATTGACCGAATGAGAATTACAGGTTCATAGTTTCTTCAAATTGGCTCTAAGTTTTTGAGGCAGACTTTTGCAATATGAAATGTATTCTCTCTCTCTCGTCATTATATTGAAAAGTGGTCTGGTTCTTCAGTTGTTCTCTTTTCTTTCTTTTGGCAGCAGGGTTGTCTTCTGCAGGCTCTGATTGTCTGTGATCCGTTTTTGGTTGATGAAGACTTAACAAATTAAATTATTAATCTCATCTTCTAAAGTAATTTGGTTTTCAAGAATTAAAAGAATAATAATAAACTCAAATTTGCCTGATTGATGTACTAGACTTAGTTGCATAGAGATTGTGCATGGATCAGATATCACTAGTTTCAAATTGCAATTCCTTCAAATTATTTTTATTATTTATTTATTTTCCTGAGCGACCAAGAAAGGCAGTAGAAACTCTGTGGTAAGTATCCAGCACTTATTATTTTTTGTATTTATTGATGTTAATGTATAAAGTAATGTATAATGTATATAGTATAGTATATTATAGGACAGAGCATAGAAAGCATAGGATTCTTTTCTTTCAGCTGTAAAGGCCAAACACCACTCACACACTTTCATTATTACGCATAGCTTTTGTCTTCTCCTTTCGGTGCTTCCTCTATAAATGAGCATCACTCTTGTAACCAAAATATAGATTGAATATAACATTCATTCACATATCTCACATGGTATTAGAGCACAGGTGTTTTGCCTAGTCTCTTCTTCCGCTGCATCACATTTTTTGCTTAGCAGATTGCTATGTATCTCGTCTGCATCACATTTTCTGTTTGGTAGATTGTTGCATATCTCGTCCTTATCTAACTTACAGAGTGGACCACACCAGAACCTTCGTCTCCTCACGACGAATCCAACGCCACCAGATTCATCATCATCCGACGTTCCACGCGACTCCACGCGCCTCATACACTTGTCCCGTGCTATTGTGCGCCGCAGCCTCATCTGCTAACGTGAGCCGCATGTTTCTGACGTCAGCCCTGGCTGCTTTCGTGCGCCGCTTGTTCTCCTCTGCTATCGTACGCCGCGCACTTCTCTGCTAACGTGCGCCGCGCCTATGACATCATCTCTGTAGACAATGACATCATCCTTTTTGACCAGAATTGTTGACCAGAACAGTCAACTCACTTTGACAAGCCAATTTAGTGCCTTTCTGGTCATATTTTTTGGTCAGTTCACTCCTTTCCCACTGATTTCGACCCTCTGAATTCACTGGCAACCTCGGATTTTTCAGATTCTACCTCAATAGTACTGCTTTTCCCTCATGGATTGCCTGGACTCCTCTAACAACCCTATTTCCGTTGTTCTTGACGGGACTAACTATGTCTTATGGGCACAAGCTATGTCTGGGTTCCTCAAAGGAAAGAAACTTTGGCCCATCATCACTGGGGATATGTGCAAACCCATCCAAACAACCACGGAATCCACTGCCACCACGGAATCCGTTGCCAAATATGTCAACCGTCTGGAGGATTGGGATAGTAAAAACTATCAGATCATCACTTGGCTTCGCAATACTTCTATTACATTTATCAGCCTTCAGTTTGGTCGGTTCCAACTTGACTCTGCTTCCTCTCCAGCCAAGGCCATCTGGGATTTTTTACAAGAACGCTATCAGACTACTGGCCTTGCTCACCAATATCAGCTTCTAAGTCATCTTCACCGTATGCGCCAAGAAACACCTCAGACCATTAATGATTTCCTCTCCCAAATGTATTATGTTTGGGATCAGCTCGCTCTTTCTGAACCTCCATGGGATTGTACTACGGATGCTGCCTTGTTTACTACTTACCGTGACCAACAGCGCTTGGTTCAGTTTCTCATGGCTCTCACTTCCCGTTTTGAGCCAGTACGCGCATCTCTCCTTTATCGCACTCCTTTACCCACTCTTGACCAAGCAATTTCTGAACTCTTGTCAGAGGAAACCAAGTTTGGTCCTCTCCATCCGCACCCTGTGGACTCTGTTCTTGCTACTCCCCAGATTCGGAGTTCTCCTTCACCACCTTCACCATAGAAGTCAACTTTCTGCAACTACTGTCAAAATTGTAGTCTTCCGTCGACTCATCTTCTGGTTAATTGTCCAGTTCGTCTTTGTCGGTTTTGCAACAAGACTGGTCCTACTCATCTCTAGCAAGATTGCTTCCGCAATCCCGCCCGTACCTCTCGCAATGGTCCTTCCCCCGGATATTTTTCCCGCAGCAACTCTCACCGTTCTGGGACTCCGTTTAAACCAATCCTTGCTCAACGCACTGCTGCTGCTGCCTCAGAGGATTTACCTTCCTCTGTCCCTATAGATCCTTCCACTCCAGTCTTCTCTCAAACAGATGTCGAAGCCATGTTTCAACATTTTTGGCAGAATTCCGGTACTCCTCCATCTATTGCTTTGTCTGTCACCGCAGGTAACACTTCCTGGTACTTTGACTCCGCTTGTTGTAATCACATGACCTTTGACCCTACTATTTTTATTCCTCTCTCTTCTACTCCTCATGTTTCTTCTATCCATACTGCTGATGGGTCTCTTCTGTCTGTAAGTCATGTTGGTTCTGTTTCCACCTCTCACTTATCTTTATCCCATGAATATCTTATGCCTGCTCTCACTTTAAATCTTATCTCCATTAGTCAATTATGTGAGCATAGTCTAACTGTTACCTTTTCCCATACTGGTTGTTTGGTGCAGGACCCTCGGACGGGGCAAACTCTTAGGATAGGCCTTAAGCATGGACGTCTCTATGAACTTATCCATCTTCATGTTTCAGATTTCTCTCAGATCACAACTCCTACCACTGCTACCATTGCTCCTCCTTTATCTCTTTTTCAGCTTTGGCACTGTCGTTTAGGCCATCTTTCTGTTGGTCGTTTAAAATCTTTAATTTCTAGTGGTCATTTAGGTCCTGTAAGTTCTGATGCTTTAGATTGTGTGTCCTGTCAACTTGCCAAACAACCTGCTTTGTTGTTTAATAAAAGTGACTCTGTTTCTCTTGCACCATTTGATCTCATCCATTCTGATATTTGGGGACCCTCTCTTACTCCCACTATGGGCGGCGCACGCTTTTGTTGTTTTTATAGATGATTTTTCCCATTTTACATAGTTGTTTCTTATGAAAAATCGCTCTGAGCTCAAACAACTTTATTACAATTTTGCTGCAATGGTTAAAACACAATTTTCTAAAACTATTAAGCTTTTTCGCTCCAACAATGCCATGGAATATAAAGATTTTGACTTTCTTTCCTTCCTTCAGAGTCATGGTACTCAACCTCATCGTTCTTGGCCCGGTACGTCTCAACAAAATGGACGTGCTGAACGGAAACATCGGCATATTCTCGACACTACTCGCGCTCTTCTTCTGTCTTCTTCTTGTCCGGAACATTTTTGGGGAGAGGCAACTTTCATTGCTGCTTACACTATCAATTGTATCCCTATACCTGTCATTCATAATCACACTCCTTATGAGCGTCTGCATGACACCCGTCCCCCTTACACCAACCTTAGGGTCTTTGGCTCTGCCTGTTTTGTTCTTCTCTAACCTCATGAACGTACCAAACTTGAACCCCGTTCCCGCCTTTGTTGCTTCTTGGGGTATGGTATTGAACATAAGGGGTATCGTTGTTGGGATCCTCTCTCCCAGTGACTTCATATCTCTCGTCATGTGGTCTTTTGGAAACACAAAATGTTTTCCTCTCTCTCTCTCTTCCGTTTGTCCGTTCCCTCATCCTCTCTATTTTTTATTGATCCTTCCACAGATCTATTTTCTGATGAGCTTACTCCACCACCCCTGCCAGCCTCTCTCGAGTTTTTTGATCCGCTTACTCCACAACCCCTGCCAGCCTCTCTCAAGATCGCCTTGCCTACTGGTTTGTCCCATGTCCCTGCTCGCTCTGATGGTCCTGCTCTTGCTCCCTCGGGATCCTCCCCTCCTGCTGAGTCTCTTCCTCTGCCTCCTCCTCCCTCTGCTTGACCACACCGGGTAACCTAACCTTCTACTCGTCTTCGTGACTTTATTGTTGGTTCTACTGCTTTTTCTACTTATGAACCGACCTCTTATCGTGAGGCTCGCTCTAATCCTCTTTGGTAGCATGCTATGACTGATGAATTGCAGGTTTTAGACAAAACTCAAACTTGGGACAATGTTGATCTTCCTCTTGGCAAGTCTGCCATTGGCTGCAAATGGGTATACAAAATCAAGACTTGTTCTGATGGATCTATTGAGCGTTACAAAGCCCGCCTTGTTGCCAAAGGCTTCAACCAAGAATATGGTGTTGACTATGAGGAGACCTTTGCTCCTGTTGCTCGTCTCACCTCTGTTCGTAGCTTGATTGCTGTTGCTACCACCCGACAATGGGATCTTTATCAACTGGATGTGAAAAATGCTTTTCTTAATGGTGTTCTTCTCGAGGAGGTCTACATGCAACCTCCCCCTGGGTCTACTTATCCACCTTATAAAGTCTTCAAACTTCAGCGTGCTTTATATGGTCTAAAACAAGCTCCATGCGCTTGGTTTGCCAAGTTCAGCTCTACTATTCATGAATGTGGTTTCACCTCCAGCTCCTATGATACTGCTCTTTTTATCCGGAAAATAGCTCAAGAGACCACCCTGCTTTTGCTTTATGTGGATGACATGATTATCATCGGTGATGATATTGATGGTATTCTTCGCCTTAAACAGTTTCTTAGCCATCATTTCGAGATGAAAAACCTTGGTCCTCTCAGTTATTTCTTAGGTCTTGAAATCTTTCATGATTCTACGGGTTCTTTTCTATCTCAGGCTAAGTATACCTCTGATCTTCTCACACGTGTTGGTCTTACGGATTGCAAGACTGACTCCACTCCCTTGGAGCCTTAGAGTCGTCTTACACCTCTTGATGGCACTCTTCTCTCTGATGCTACCCTATATCGTCAGTTGGTTGGCAGTCTTGTCTATCTCACTGTTACTCGTCCTGATATTGCCTATGTCGTTTATATTGTCAGCCAGTTTATGTCGGCTCCTCGTACCCCTCATTATGCTGCATTAGTTCGTATCCTTCAGTATCTCAAAGGCACCATGTTTCATGGTCTTCATTATTCCGTCCGCTCATCTCTCTAGCTTTGTGCTTTTTCCGATGCAGATTGGGCTGGAGATCCTACTGACCGCCGCTCTACTACTGGGTTCTGCTTTTTTCTGGGTGATTCTCTTATTTCTTGACGCAGCAAGAAACAATCTCTTACTGCTCGTTCCAGTACCAAGGCCGAATACCGTACTCTTGCTGATACTACTTAGGAGCTTCTCTGGCTTTGTTGGCTTCTTGCTGACCTGGGTGTTACCCCCTCTGGTGCTACTGACCTCTTTTGTGACAATCACAGCGCTCTTCAAATTGCTCACAATGATGTTTTTCATGATCGCACCAAGCACATTGAGATTGACTGCCATTTTATTCGTCAACACGTCACTCGTGGTACTGTCTATCTCCATCCAATCTCTTCTGTTGATCAACCTACTGATATCTTCCCCAAAGCTCATTCTCCTGGCCGCTTCGTTGAACTTGTCTCCAAACTCCAGTTGGTTGATGTTTGTCCTCCTTGAGTTTGGAGGGGACTGTTAATGTATAATGTAATGTATAATGTATATAGTATAATATATTATAGGATAGAGCATAGAAAGCATAGGATTCTTTTCTTTCAGCTGTAAAGGCCAAGCACCACTCACACACTTTCATTATTACGCATAGCTTTTGTCTTCTCCTTTCGGTGTTTCCTCTATAAATGAGCATCACTCTTGTAACCAAAATATAGATTGAATATAACATCCATTCACATATCTCACAATTGATTTAGCATGGATCACTTATCAAATTTCCCTCATCTTTTCCTTTCATTTTCCAAATTCTTACCCAAATTGATGATCCAATCACTGCCTTAGTGTCATTTTGTGTTCTGCCAATCTGAGGATTGTTTTTATATTATAGATCTTTGTCATTAATTTTGTCTAGCTTGGTGAAGCGAAAAGTGTAATTCATATTACAATTCTAGATTAATGGAATGCAGAAAGATATAGAGAGGTGAAATGAATCTAAATGCGGCAAGATATAGAGACGTGAAGGCTTCAATAGGTTTATTAAGATTTTCTAAACTCATCCATTAATTGAAGCTACGGAGGTCACCATGTTGTACTCAAGGTTCACTGTGCAATACTTAGTTTATTGATTTTTTTTTTTATTTCATGATGTCAAAGTCATCACATTCAAGATCTTAAAATTAGTCTACAGATATCAGATTAGTACTATTTTGGTTTTGATGCATTGAACTTGCAAAAACAAATATGTGCATTGTACTTTGAATATCTTGTCAATTGTAGTATTTTTTTTCAGATTTTATGGGATGTGTCATTATAGTAGTATATTTCTGCCACATGTAGTATGGTAAGTTCAATATGTGCAAGGCACTAAATATAAATTTGTTGGCTACATATTTTGTACAAGCCAATTACAATTCGACGCGTGGCAAAATAAGGGTAGTACAGGAAGACTATTCAAATCTTCAATCCTAATCGTACACGTGGCAGTTAGTATTGGTTGTTACGAGATCTGAGTTGCAGTAGATCAGCAGAGACATACAAAGTGATGTGGCATCATCGGTTACTCACATTTGAATTCAAATTTAAGAGGAAAGCCTAACTGCAAGTGATGGCGTAATGGAGCTAATCTTGAGGCAACATGATCAGCGATCATGGAGGAGTAGTTCGACGATTGGAAATATATTTGATGATGAATACGGTTCATCCCTTGCCTTGCTAAGTTTGATGTATTCGTTTGGAAGGATTCCGGCTATATTCATGCAAACCTTTATTTTTAGTACCATTCACTGAGTTTTGTACTCACCCCTCTATATATATGTAGGTGATGAGCAGGACGGCGGCGACGCCTAGTTCGTTTTGGATGCTTGTTTTGGATGCGTGTATATGTCGGCCTTACTTTTGTATTTACGTCGGCGATGCCTTGTTTTGCATGTCGGCAGATCTTGAAAATCATGCTTCTTGAATTGTATTAACTGTATTTTGTATATGTCGGCTCGAGAAGCCTTTTGATCAAGATGTGATATGTAATTTTACTTGTTGTATTCAAGTTGTAAGTTAATTGAAAATGTTTGGCATTGTTTTGATCTA